TGAGGTATTTCTCTACTAAATTAGTGTGAATGGCTGCTAAATACACACCAGAATTCCTCAGCTGGGAGACATGGCTGTGCAAAGGCCAGGCCACTCGGGTCCTTGAGGAGAGCAGAGGGAGAAACTGCTGCAAGCCCTGAGGCTGCTGAGATGGATCCTTGATGGTGGGCAGCTTATATAAACTCTGGATATGCTCCTTCTGGAGTTACCTTATTATAACAAAGACCAAATTTGGAGTCTCTCATTCTTATGATTCTACCCCGTGCTTCCTTCCACCCCCTCTTGAGTTCTTTTTTTAAAAAAATTCCTAAATTCAGAAGGTAACCTGCTCCGCCACTGCGCAGCTGAAGTTTCTCTCCCTGCCCTTTGGTTTGGTGGGACTTTGGGATGCTGAGCTCCACCTCGATGGGCTCAGCACCCCGAGGTCTCCCCACGCACACCATGGAAGATGGGCAGCCAAGAAGACAACAGTGATCTGTACTTAACATTAGGTGGCACAAAAGAGTTTCCTTTTGCTCGCAGAACACTGAAATCCACGGGCAATAACAAACAGAGATCTTCTTTTCTTTGAACAAAATTCTCCTTCCCTATTTTCCCCAGCTTTCCAGCGGCCTTTGAAGTGCTCCTGTTTATAAACTTACTTGATTTCGTCTTTCATTGCATCTCTTTTGTCTCTTAACCTAATTTGTTTTAAAATAAGACATAGCCCAGCCCTCGCTGTGCTTGTATTTACAGAGCAGCCAAAGGGCTCTAAAACAGGCTAATTTCATGAAACGCCTTCTGTCCCTCCTCCAAACCAAGGCTGCCTTTAAGAGCCTTGCCTCTCAGGACCCTGCGTGCTCAGACCCAGAGTGACCACGCAAGGGCATGTTTTAACCTGAAGCTTTTCATCCGTGTCCTTAGTTAGGGTTGTTTCCAAACCGCGGCCGTTTACTCCTGGTTTGGTCCCCGGTGTGCATTTATCCTGTTCCTGCAGTTCACTGAAAAACGTGCTTTTGGGGGTTATATTTCCTTCTCCCGCTGCTGTAATCCTTTCGGAGAGAGCCGGAGGCTGTGGTCCCTCTGTGGAGGCTTTGCTGCCCAGCACAGGGGCAGCTGCCCCCAAGGCTGCGGTGCTGCAGCTCGCCGAGATTTACAAATGAAATAAATCAGTTTTATGGTTAAGAAACAAAGCCTCGCCCGCTGTTTACATCCCAAATCCCTCTCGCTCCCAGGTACAGGATGGCCGGGTTGCTGGGAAGGCGCCTGTCCGCTCGCTGGCTATCGAAGACAAGAGCTCTCTCTCCCTGCTCGGGTCGCTCCTCGGGATTCCTAAAGGTAATTTTCTCCCCCTAAACTGTTGGCAGAAGGGCCGGGTATTGTTTTCTCCCGAGGTTCGGCCTCAGAGTAGGCGAAAAGAAAGGAAAGAAAAGGCCGTTTCGCTGCCGGTCCCTTGAAGTTGTTGCTGCCTGCCTGCCTGCCTCCCCCAGCAGCCGGCGGGGCCGGAGCGGCCCCGTCTCACCCCGTTAGCCGTGATGGAGTGTTATTGTTCCGCCGCCCGCCCGGGGGGAGCGGGGGGCGGCCACAGGAGCCCCCGCGGCCCGAGCACCGTGGAACAAAAGAAACTTCCTCGGGGGCGGGGGTGGGGTGGGGACGGGACCCCCGGGCGGGTCCCCAGGGCCGCGGGGATGCCGGGGGGGACCAGCCGAGGATGGAGGGGGAGATGCTGCGGGGGCGCGGGGGGCGAGGCGGGGGCAGCGCTGCTGCTGCTGCTGCTGCTGCTACACATCACCGAGATCCACAAACACCGACAGAAACTGCACCTACACGCACGGCTCGCTGTTTATGTTCACACGCTGCCCGGCCCCGCCACCCCCGAAAAAGCCACAAAGACCTTTTTCCGCCCCAAAAGCGCCTTTTCCATCCGAAAGGGCCTTTCTCTGCCCCGAAAGCGCCTTTTCCATCCCGAAAGCGCATTTTCCAACCCCCCTAAAAAACCGCCTTGGCTGCGGCAGGTGTGAACCGAGGGATGAGCCCCCTCGGACCCCCCTGCCCCGAGGGCACAGGCCCTGCCCGGGGATGCGGAGCCCCCTCCGAGGAGCCCCCGCACCGCGGCTCGGCCACCGCACAAACCACGCACCCGGAGCTTTCCATCTTATTTTGGTTTTCTTTCGTAAAAATGTTTATTTAAACT